CAGGCACAATTACTGGTCGGCCACCAAATATTAGTGGCCTCCCAGGTGTGTACAACACAAATATGGGGTTTAGAGTTCAAGAAAGTAGGAAATGAATACATATATAAACCCAACAAGACCTAAACTCCATCATGGATAATCCGGAGTGTCGGTGACTGGGAATTGAGACACGTTCCATCACTTGAAGTACGAAACATTCCTCGTTTCCCGTGCTCGGGCTAACTCCTATCCCAAGCACAATGCAATATGCATAACATGCATGAATGCAACTAATATACAACCTAGCATGCATAATACTATGAAATGGCATACACGATGCACGAGGTAACATGGCATACACAATGCGCTAACATACAACCTAGCATACACAATGCTATGAAAAGACATGGCATACACAATGCACAATGGACTTACACCAACATGAATGGGCCTCAGCCACACTCACATTAGTAGCCATTAGATGAAAATGAGACTCTCGAAGTACGTGCACGCATGCACGCAAACCGAGGACCAAACCTAAAGCATCAAATGCCACTCTACCAAAGCATGGCAAGGCATGGAACATGGTATGCAAACATGCAAATTTCAGCACTGGAATATGATATAAAATGGTCCCGAAACATGGAAACATGGCACCCGATGCATGAGATGAACCCCGAAACTCAAAATTAGGCACATGGAATGACTTATAGCTATACAAAGAATGCATTATTTCATGATGAAGCATGAAGACAGAGGCAAGACAGTCCTGAAACATGCATATTTCCAGTTTATAACAAGTCCCAAAAATGAAAGCAAATAGGGCTAATCTATTATGCAAAAATGGCCCTAAAATGGAGATTAAACACAAAGGGACAGAAGCTGGCCCCAAATGGAAAAGAGCCCTTCAAAAAAGTTTAAGAGGGGATCAAAACAGGGCACTTTACAGTTTACATCAAGCCACGAAAATAATCACAAATAAGGCCAAACTATCATTCAAGAAAAGGCCTAAGAGAGGAGTAAAGAGACAAGTGGCAGCTTCTGTTCTCAAACAGAGGAGAGCCCTTCAACAATGTTGAAGAGGAGCTCAAAACAAGATATTTCACAGTTTATGGAAAGGTCCAAAACAGCTCAAAAT